GTGTATAATGTGAGATTTGCCAATCCTAAGGCAGCGTGCCGAAGGGTGGTTGGAGTGTCCATTGCTCTTTTACTTGTGATGATGATATGATCCAGCACTCCGTACTCAATTAGCCTATAAGTGTAAGCATTCTCGTTTGGAAAGTAACAGCTGAGCTGATTTATCGGTAAATAACAGCTCATACTTTAGAGAAGTGCTTGAACTATGTTTGAACATGCTTTCCATAATGCTAAGGCTCATTCGCTGTTGTTCAGCATTTTTATTCAACTTCATCGCCATCGTCACAATCTTCTTCAGCCATCCCTGGAGCAGAAGGTTTTGCAGAATGATATGTAAGCAAACAAAAATTCTGCTGACCTTGTTGACTATGTACTCGCGATTGTTTAACGACATACACTCCTCCAGTACGCGCCCACATGCCAGACGAACTGGAAATGTACTTACTATGTATCCACTGCCAAAATGGTGCGTGGGTGAAAAGTCGTTACCTGGTTCGCAGGTAGTCTGTCCAATGAACAGCTTGATTAGCGCATCAAGGTACATTTTCTCGCGAAGATAGTCACAAAGTGCGAACGAAAGATCGTGCGAAACCTTTGGAATCATCCATGCTTTCGTCATCACCTTTGCAACGATCGTGCATCCCTGAAGGAGTTCTCATTCGCTTTACTATAGACATTGAAAAACGTTTGAGTACACTTCCTCTATATTCATGAAAATATGAGGAAAAAATTCCTACTATCGACTTGCTAGCATTCGCTCAGTACCAAACCATGACTCATGTCAAAGACTTGAGCTACATATAAAATAATAACAATGCGCATGCATGACCAGGAAACTCGTTTTTTGGCGAGCTGTCACAGAATCTAAGCCAAACGAGGATTCACCATGGCTCCATTTATGAGTCAGAAACACTTTTTCATGAATTTTTTACAAAAAAATTGCTTTTCCCCATTCGTAATCAGCTAGTAATCAATTTGATTCCTGCTATCTTATCAAAGTTCATTCAATTAACACCTATGTGGTCATTAAAAAATATGCAGGTCGTGCAAATCATTGTCTTGCGTGGAGTGGATGAGTCATCGACAAGAAGATGTGACAACGCT